AATATGGAAAGTACAGATATTCATAGCAGGGCATACATCTGCACAGCCATATAAGTCTTACATAATGAAAGAATGCAGAAATGGTTTATAGCTCCTTTCAGTTCTCCATACCTCAGTAGAGATTTCCCAGAATAAATGTTGCTACTTAAACGCTGCAAATGAATGGATACGCTACTCTGCCTGCAAGCTCGAACACATTGGGGAGAAAAAAAAAATTTCAGAAAAACAATTTCCGATCAGTTTTAGTTTTTGTACATGTATTTTAATGTTGTGCTTCATCTTGAAACAATCACGTTTGGATAACTTGATTACTTAAATTCATCAGGGCAACATTTCTATCATTATTGACCACTCACACCAATATAGGCAATTATTCAATAACACAAGAAAGCTTGGACAATTTGTAATACGAATAAATGCCTGCTAGAGATTACATACATATGAGCAAATTTGCTATGTTTGGTACTTATAATCTGCTAGAATGCTGTTTGCTCGTGGCAGGTGTGCTAAACTGAACACCCATCTCTCCTAACATGCATTGCATTTTCCTACCAGTTGAGAGCTCAGCAGCGAGGATCTGTGACCAGCCTCCACAGGCTCTGCTCTCATGCCCTCTTCTGTCCCCAGAAGGCTTGCAGGCCCCTTCCCATGAAGACCTGACCCTCTTTCTGGAGTAAAACTAAGTAACTTTTCAGAAAGTTCCCGTGCACGATTTTGGAGATTTTTTTTTCCTAGTTTCTACTATGGTAAAAGCAGTGAAAGGGATCATTTTAAAATACATACCTAACAAATGCAGGAAAAAAACCCTAACTAATGACTTGAATAATGTAATACTGCTGCATTGGGAACCCCCCTTTTGGGGTGGGATTTTTCTGGTGTGAGAGACAACCACTGCAGCAAATGGAGCTTAAACCTGTTCCCCCAGCGGACAAGATGTACCAGCCAAAGGTGACTTTGCCTGTATAACTGCACATATGCTAGGGATTTTGCTCATGTTGCAACATCAGCAAGAAGCATAATTTTCTTTCAATCAGCCAACACCAGTCACTTGTTAATTCAACAAGGCTACCACAACTTTCAAGGACAGTCCCAGGCAAATAAGACGCGCTATCCATTTTTAACAATAATATGAACTTTTTCAAAATGTTTCAAATGAAAACAGGCTATTCCTGTCTATTCCTATAAGTCTATTCCTCTCCTTCCGCCTCCCAAATTCAAATGAAGCTGGCAAAAATTTCTTCTCAAAGGTATCATGGCAACCTCATGCAACTGAAACCTTTAAGACATGTAGGAAGACTGAAGAAGTCCCCAAAATAAAATTCAGGACTTTTAAGCAACAATGCAAGTGCTCAAAATAATAGTAAACGAGGAGGAAGGTCTCACTAAATCATGACGAAACAGTGACCCAATCAAACAAGAAATCCAGGGGATTCCAAACTGGGTCCCAGATTCAGGGCATTCATTTTAAATACCTCATTTAAAATTCAGTTTGCTGTCACTACACGAACATGACTAGATAGAAAAGATGACAGGCTTGCAAAAGCGCTCGGTTGATTCTCTAGGGAAGGATGCCAGCAGCCACCCTCGCACAGTAAACAGTGGCCGCAAGCGACTCGTCAGAGCACGGCTGGCGTCACCCCTGAAGGGACGTTCCACATCCATATAGCAAGGTGAGGTGTCCCTCGTAGCAGCCGCTGAGCACGGGCAGATTTATAGGAGAGACGAGCAGAGCAGGAGAGACGCAAAGATTTTTACATCCAGGAAATGGTATTGATTGCTGCTGCATAGCAAGAACCAACATATTTTTCTCCATAATTTTAAGCTGCTAGCTGCAGCAACGTTAACGTCAGCATCGATACCTCTGGAAAAGTGGGGCAGCAGAAAGCACTGCCAGCATCTCATGGCAAAACATGCCACACTGATATCCTTGTTAAACAGGATTAACATCAGGAGTTAACAATAACATCTAGGTTTGGGGGGGGAAAAGCCCAACACTGATTTCACCTCAAGAGTCTTTGTATGTTGGTAATGCTGAAACAATTATCGTTATAAGAGTTATTTTTCAATCGTTTCAAACTCTCCAGATCTTTTAGCATGCACACTCTTCAGGATTGAAGGCAAAAAAATCTCTTTTCCTTCCAAGGCATTTATTTAACATCCAACACAAACATTAATACAGGCTTATTCTCAGCTTGTATAGAGTACTTTGGAGCAGTAGTGCACATGCACATTAATGAACTGGGTGTATTCTTTGTCCTCTGCTGAGAAGTCACTTTAAATTGTCAGTAAGACAATTTGAGCTTAATGACTTTTGCCATCTGATATTTCATATTTAAGCAAATGATTTCAGCTACGCTAAAGCGTTAAACAAAACCCAGCCATCAGGAACAACTCATTGAAGAAAACAGAACTGGTCTTTGCACAGCCAATACACTTACTCGGCTAAAACTGTTTTCATTTCTCTGGTAATTCAACACACTATTCATACCCATCTGATGATCCAGTGTGCGTGATGGGTTTGGATGACAGTCCACTTCTGTAGTTTCGGGTTATGGTTTTTCCTTTGTGGGCTGGAGGAGATTAGCTTTCATGTTTATAAGCAGGTGAAGTAGCAGAAGATGTAGTACAAACTCAGAGACCTTCCTTGGGAACAAAACCATATTTATACCTTTTTCCTTAGCTATCTTGTAAATTTTTAAAATTTATTTGTAGAGTCCTTCAGCACCTATAGCTTTGAAGCATCAGTGACTGACAAGGCCAGCACCAGAAACAAGCAAATTTAACCTCCCAGGGCCAGCTACAGCGCTCACGTAACAGCCTCACGTAGCACTGTATCGCTCCCGTTCGGTGCGCCCATAGTACTGGTAATCGCCAGTAATTTACTTCCATGGTTTCCTTCAGCATGTTATTTCTTAAGCCTGAAAAGCAATTGTTCTGAACTCTTAACCAAGCACGCTGTTCTGCAGGTAGTGCCACATCTACTCGATGTACGTTAATGAACGCAGAGACGGGGTCAGCTCTGTCAGACTGCCCCTGCCCCTGCTGAAGGCAACTGCCCAAGCTCACTGACTTGAGAAAACAATAGAACAAAGGAAAAGCCCAAGGACTTCACCGTCGTCACGTGAGATGTGTACAAAGTCAGCAGGTGAGCACACCTTAACGCTTGAAGAGTTTTCCAGATTTACACCATACTTTTGTAGGAAACAGAGGTGGCTTTAAAGCTTTTTCAGGTTTTTCTTTAAGCAAAAACTAGACAATTTGCGTAGTGAAAATAATAGGTTCTGACTTTGGCCCGTCATCTTTATGTACTCCAAGGTTTTCACGGGCTAAAAGTCAACTGCAGGATTACAGTTCAAGAAAAGGCATATATTTTGGCTGCGGTACCACAAGACTACGTGTCAAGCTTGGATGACCTCTGCTATCCACGCAAAACCATGCAAGAGTCATGACCCTACTGGCAAAGTAGAATGATGATGTAATGCAACAATTCTCTACTACTTTAGGTTTTTTTAATGAATGCAAAACCACTTCAGGCACAATTTAAAAACAAAAACCCCCACAAAAAAAAAAAAACATCAGTGGCTCAGAAAGGAATCATTATTCCTTTAAAATTCAGACCCTGTGCCAGGGAATGGGTGGGGGCCAACACACGACTAAATGAGGCGAGCACAAGGAAACTCATGGTGCTCCAATTTGCCACTTGAAACTGCTAGAAAAAATGTGAAAAAAGTACAAGTAGATTTTGTTGTATTGTATAAGCAAAGAATTAACTGAGGTGCCTAGAATAATGCTTAGGCTAAGTGCTAAGATTATAACTTAATAGTTGCACTGTGATTTTAGAGCATTCCCATACATTTGTCTTCCTGCATTAATGCTGACATGAGCCTGAAAAAATAGTATTCAGCCTATAGCATCTGAGGAGCTATGCCCTCATTTATGAAGTCAAAGTGAAATTCTGCTGCAGTTCATAGGATACTTATTGTATGCATTAAGAAAAGTCTCCTCTCTTATCCTTTTGTAACTACTTCAAGGGCAAGCTCTCCTTCCAAGCACACCTGTAAAGGAGTGAGCTATTCCTGTTTTCCGTCATCTCCAATGCTAATCAGAAAAAAGAATCATGACATCTTTTGAACTACTCTGTGGTTCGTTTCCTTCCTACTATTCATTTTTTCAGTCTTTTTGTACCTTAGCGGACTGTATCTAAACTGCCCTTACACTGAAAAAGACAGTTCCTCTGTGGGGAGTGGTGGGGAGGAGAGATTGACACAAAATGCAAAAGGAATAATCAAAGGAGTAGCACAGCCCGCGGAAGCTCAGGTTTTCGAGTCTTTTAACGGAACTGACTCAGCTCACCATCCACACAGGAAAAAGAGTATTTGCAGTCCCTAAAGAATTTCATTTGAAAGCAAAGAGGAAACAAGAGCTAGTAAATGCTATTGTTACAAAAATAGCAGCTACATACACCCAGCTATTTCTATTATACAACAGAAATACTCTGCATTTAATATAATCTGTGGTTGCGTTGCCAAGTTCTGGACTGGCAATAAGGACGGGACATTGAAATGCATTGTTTTACCAGCTCCAAGGCAAGGGCAAGGAACGGGATTCCTAATGAGCATTCAGAAAGGAAGTTAAAAAGGAAGTTACTGTATCGTGCTGCAAGCTATGCCAGACTGTGACTTGTATTATCAGCGAAAATAGGTTCTTTATGTCAGAGGTGGTCATCAAGTCTTCAAGATGTGTGGGGAGGCCTTCTTTGTCCTTACACCTTTCGGGATCTGCAACTGCAAGCATATTTTCTAGAACACCTCCACAGATGTGGAAAAACATTACTGGATATAGGGTAGAAGTAATTTCTAGAGATACTTAGAAGGCGAGTCAGAAACTACGAATGCATCACATTAAAGGAAATCAGTATTGACGAAATGCAGTTATGTTTGTCTTGGAAGCACATTGAGTTGACTGCCAAAAATACATCTTTGGCTTTATTTTCCACTCACCTCACCTTTATAAATAACAGGCCTGTCAAACACCGTCAACCTTTGACTTCTTGGAAAACAGATGGAAACAGTAAATTTGATCAGTCTAGATTTGAAGGGTAAGTAGCAACTGCAAAAGGGGACAGGAGGCAGGAAATCATTACTGCATCTGACACTGTTCTTGTCCCAAGTCTGTTCCTATTAGTTATCGTCAAAACGACCAACCATTCAGCCATGCTAATTCCACTTGCAAGGCTACTGAACTTAGACTTGCATATTGAAAGCCACTGCCCCAGTGACAAGACACTTCAATACTTTATCCAAAACCCTTTTTCTCTTTCAACAAATAACAGAATCCTTTTTCATGAAAAAATATAAATGCGATGCTGAATAAAAAAACATTTCAAAATGTCCATTATTGTGAGGAAAGGCATTGTCACCATCTGTCCCATCCACAGATGATCCTTACAAAGACTTTCACAGCAAAGTTTTCCAATGCCCCTGGCTCAGCTGGAAGCAGCGTAGCTGCTAGCAGTGACACTTGGCAAAAAGTTTGGAATGCCTAATAGAGATGCAGGTAATTGTTTACCTTTAAGTTTTAAGGTGGCATTGTAAGGGGAGCACTTTTTGCACCCCTGTAAGTGTCAGTTGAGACAACTGATTCTGAGGGCTGTGCTCTTATGTTTCCTCTAGCAGGGCCAATCACAAAAGGACAAAACCACCGCATGTCAACTGTTTGCTTTCATGGGACACTGAGAAAATAAGGCAAAAAACCCCTTCACTCTCTCTGATAGAGAGAGTGATACTGCAAAGACAAAGCTTAATTTCATCAAGGGCAAACTGGCTACATCGATTGGATTATTCATTTGGTATAATGGACTTTGCTTTCTTCCTGCAGCTTTCTCAAAACAAGAACAAAATGAAGATAAATTGGCTCTCACTCAAGGCTGACACGCTATATGTATTTATGGATTTCTAAGCCCCGCAATACAATAGAAGCAAGGTATTCATTACATGACTTGTTTTTTCTCTGCAGTACTCTTACAGAGGCTGCACAGAAAATAGGCACGCTTTGCAAAGGAAAGGCTGCAACGGAGCTCAGCAGCAGCTCCACGCTTCTCTCCTCCCTTCAGGTCTTTCTTTACCGTGACTGATAAAACATACAGCTTTTCCTTTCCCAGCACAGGAGCCACTTTGATACACGTGCGTGAAAGTGCACACAGCGGAATACCTTTTTGATCCTCCAAGCAAAGGACTAATTGCCTTTTTCTGAGGAAGCACCACTAACGTAATCCGACTTTGCAATTTCAACAACTGACGTAAGTGCCAGAGTTTATGAAATCTAAACATCACTTCCCCCATCGTTATGTACGCTGTTGCTATTATGTTAAAGATCTGGCCTCATCTTTTTTCACACAATGCGTTAGTTATGCCAACAAACCGAAACCACTATTTCTAAGAATGGAATTACACATTTATCAACTGCACCATATAATGGCAACACTTTCCATCACTTATTATTTTGTAAAAAGGGAATGGCATACTCTATTGCATCATTGTATTTAGATCAAGGGGAAACCTTTGGCACCATACATTATGGGAAATGTTAACCTACGATAACCTCTTTAGAAAGAGGGAAAGAACTACTTAAAGTTGCTGGGCCAGACTTTCTTTTGAGTTACAACACATTGTAGTTGTAATTGAGCTAATTACAATGAACAAACATTAGACCTGTGCAAAACAGGTGCAAAATCTCACACCCATTTATTATTCTGTTCATCTAAACCTGAGGTGCAACAGCAGAATGTGTGTCTGCAGTCAGTAAACATTGCCTGCATGTATTTAATGTACTGTCTTAAAGGGAAGGGGAATTCAGTCTGCATGAAAATAGCCTCCTTTCTAAAAGTGTTGCACCTGCTAAAGTAAGATAATCATTGAAAGGAAGATGACCTCCTGGGTGATCACATAAATAAATCAGCACTGGCTTCACAAAATCTCTGAAGCTACCTAACACAACAGGCAGAACACACTCACTTGCTTTCTTCCTTTCCTAACGTTACTTTAAAGCAATGCTGGTTACACAGAGAAGCTTTTTGCAAACCATTTAGTATTCTCAAAGGAGCAGGTGATCTAGCTTATACTTATTTTAAAAGCTTCGCGGGGAAAATGCATCATGCAATATTTTTCTAGTTTTCTACAAGCAAATGAACAAAGCCAAAGTAAATCAGCAAGTGGCACGACATGCCAAAACCCAGAAACAAAATGAGCAATGAAATTGTACTTATCACTCAGAAAAATCTAAGCCATTCATTTGAGATGCTTATGTTTGGGTAACCTTTGGAAGAATGTTTGCTGTTCCATTACACAAACAATGGAAATATTAGATAAGGAAAATAACTGCAATTGCCAAGAATGCTCCATGCACTCCTCTCAAATCATTAAACATGTAGATATTATTTTATGGATAGAATGTCAAATGTACAAACCGTTTCATCTAACCCCTGAGTTTGCGCAGGTCCCCGGAGCGTGGTGCAGAAACCCCTGGACCAGTACCTCTGCATGGCACTGTGCTGATACACGCGTCGAAATACAGAAATGTAAGAGCCAACTTCAACCTCGCTAAGGCCAAGTATTACAGCTTTAACAGCCATGTTATGTAGGACTTTGAGACAGTACCGTATGCCAAAGCAAAACTCCTTGCCTCACATGAGTTACTAACACACAACCCTCTCGCCTAGATTTTTTCCATCTGTTCACAATCTTGAAAGACCTACTGTGACAATGGTGTTTAATGTGAACTTGGGTCAGACCCAGCATTTCCCCACAGAACAGAGCTGCAAAGAGCCAGATAAATAGTAACTGCTTCAGCGCTTCTCCCTGCAGGGAGCGAGGAGGGGCGGGAGGAGCCCCGGCGCAGAGGGGGAGGGAGGCCCCGGTGCAGGCCGCCTGTCCCTTCCATGGGTCCCGGGGAGGCAGGCACCGTCCCGGCTTCCCCAGGCAAGCCCCCCAAGGGAAAGGCACCACAAACCCATCTGCGGTACCTGCCAGGGGTTCCGCAACCGCAACGGTAACTTGAAAACGAAGGCGCGTCCAGAACCCGCCTTCCTTCGTAGCTCACCCGCCTCTCGCTGGAGCGGTCAGCGACTCGGCTAAGCGCAGCTCCCCGGAGCGGGCAGCGGCATTCCGAGGGGTGCTGGGACCTGAACAGGCCAGCAAAGGCAACAAGCGTTTACTGCAGTGCCTACAGAAAAACATCGAGTTATCACAAGTTCTCACCAGCCCAACCACGCTTCACGCCGCATGAATAACTAGGTGAAATATGAGTTTAAAGTTTGGTGGTGTTTTTTTCCCCACGCAAGGTAGGAAAACGGTGTTGCAAAATGCAAGCCTTAGAGGCCTTCGCCGGGACAATACTGAAGGGTTTTTTTCATGGGGAAGGCTGTTTTCATTGTTTAAACCGATCCTTCCATGTGGAGAGAACATGCACGAATAAGGACGAGGTGTGCACTTGGAGTTTGGCTTCTGGCCTGGGTGCCTTGGCAAATTGGCCTGAACTGCAAGTTACGTTTTGACACCACAAGTAAGGACGGGGCATGAGACAGCATGGCGGTCTGGAGAGAGGATGAGCGGGTCTTCTTTTACAGTGCTTTTACGATGCTGCTTTGAAGATTTCCAAAGTACTTCAGCTCAGCCTCACAACCAAATTCTTGAAATCTACTTTAGGAGAGCTGGCAACACAGCTTTTAAAAAAATCATTCCATGAGTAGAATAATATTCATCCTAACCTTGAATTTAAAATAATTTAAGAAAATCTTGAACTTATACATAATATTTGATGGTTTATGCATGATTAAGTGTATTCTTTAAACAACAGCTAAAATTATGCTATTATTACTTTCTTTCATAACCTATTTTTGACAGTGTGGTTTTATAGTTTTCAATTTCTGGCAATCCATTATTTTATGTTACTGTTTTAAACTTGTATTTGTCTGAACCAAGCATCTTTCATTCCTTTCTCAATTTGTTTCTAAATTCTTTACATACCCGTAGCTAATTTAACATATAACAAACAACACCCCCATGCAACGCTACAGGCTT